GGTTTCTGTTCTTTGAGCAAACCAAGCTGCTCACCATCAGCTGGAAGAGCTCCTTACTGGTTTACTTCCACCAGGATTGGGGAACCTTCAGATGTTGTTGGAGTCTCAACTCTCATGGCCAATGGTCAGGGAAGCCCTGCCTCATCACATCTCCTGACTGTGACACACAGTAAGGTAAAGGGACCCCGACCATTAGGTCCAGTCGCGGACGACTCTGGAGTTGCGGTGCTCATCTCGCTCTATAGGCCGAGGGAGCTGGCGTTTTTCTGCAGACAGCTTCCGGGTCGTGTGGCCAGCACGACTAAGCCGCTTCTGACAAAACCATAGCAGCGCATGGAAACGCCGTTTACCTTCCCACCGGAGCGGTACCTATTTATCTACTTGCACTTTGACGTACTTTCGAATTGCTAGGTTGGCAGGAGCATGGACCGAGCAACAAGAGCTCACCCCATCATGGGGATTCGAACCACCGACCTTCTGATTGGCAAGCCCTAGGCTCAGTGGTTTAACCCACAGCGCCACCCGTGTCCCTGTAGTGACATGAAAATATGAAACCCTGCCTAAGAGATAAAATTCAGCAAAGTAATCTTGACACCTCGGACCAGAAATTTAGAAGCTAATCTTCCTGTATTAAGATGTTTTCTCTCTTTACCTTCTCCTGCTGCCATGAGTTACGGAAACATTTTAAAAACTGAATTGTTTCAGAACAATTCCCTGATTTGACTTTGAAAGCTGCCCAAGTATCACACCATTTGATGATTAAAGCATATGGGGTTGCATGCAAAGTGACATGCCCTGACAGCACAAAGGATTTCCACTTGAACAGCATGACATCCCCCATCTCCTCTCCCTGTGGAACCCCTAAAATATGTTCTAGAGGTTCCCCCCACCCTCCAGAGCAGATTTGGGGAGTGCATGGCAGGAGCAGGGGAAATTCCTATTGCATCAGCAGAAATCCTTGTATTGACAGGGCATGCCCTGTTTAGGGAAGTTTTTAATGACTGATGTTTTAATGAATTTAATCTTTGTCGGAAGCCGCTCAGAGTGTCTGGGGAAACCCAGCCAGATGGACAGAGTATAAATAATAAATTGTTATTAAATTATTATATGTTAATTGGGTACCTCCCATTTTTAAAATAAAATCAGTGCTCTCAACTATATTGATGCCATCAAAAACTTGGGACGAAGAGAGGCTTTTGAGAGCCATTTCACCATTTATTCAGTACAAGAATAAAAAACCCATCATTTGACAGTATTTGGTCAGTTAAATGCTACATCCCAATGAAGTGATTTTATTGTGCATTGCTTTGCACTGACTTACATTGAACCTCACCTGCTCACTCAGTTTGGAGAGATCCTTTTGGAGCTCTTCTGTTTTCTTGGGTTCTCATAATTCCAAATAATTGGATGCAATTTGCCACTGTAGTGCTCCCCCCTAAATTCAGAATATTTATGAATTAAATAGTACGAACTATCCCAATTGCTATTTTGTACATCCCTCCATTGTGAAAAAGACTCATTTATTCCAATTTAATCAGGTATTGGTCTGTAAAAGAGCATCCCCTCTTGTCCCATGGCTGGTAAATTTACTCTAGGGAAGTCAAAAGTCCTAAAACATACATGGACCAGAGAAGATGGTCAAGTTCTATGGGGGTAGAGGTAACAGAACACTGAAGCCATTCTACAGGCTATAAAGAATGAGATGATAGGAAGACACAAGATTTACCCACCCAGGAAGAATGGCAGATGAAGTTGATGGACTACATGGAATTGGCGGAAATGACTGGCAGAATCCGAGACCAGGGAGAGGAATCGGTGGAAGAAGATTGGGAAAAGTTTAAAGACTACTTACAGAAATACTGTAAAATTAATGAATGTTAGAAAAATGTTGGAGTGAAGTTATATGGCTTTAGTAGAAATGCTATAAGGAGTTAAGTATAGATGGATTAATAGAGTATTAAAGGGAAAAATAAGGTTAGAATGTGTTAAGATAATTATAGGATAGAAAACAGAGGAAGATGGAGAGGAATTGCTGAAACAATTAATAGAAGTGGAAGACAAAAAGGGAGGTGTGAGGTCGTGGAAACAAGTGAATGAAAGATAAGATATTGAAATTGGATTGTGTTTTGAATGGTTTTTGTTTTGCTTTGTTAATTGTTTGTGTCAGTGTTTTGTAGTGTTTTTTTGTATTGTATTGTATTGTTGTATTGTTTTTTTGGTTTTCTGTAGTGTTGTGTTTAAATTGTTGAAAAATTAATAAATATTACTTAAAAAAAAAAAGAATGAAATGATAGTGAAATCCTAAATTACAAGGAGCAGTTCAGCCCGTAGAGGTTAAGGAGTCATGGGGTTTTTTCAGCCCTCCACCCCTGCCACAATAAAAATATTTCTCCATATGGTAAGGTGGCTCATCAGAGAGTGGGCTCTAATTGACATGAAGATGCCAGGTTTCCCTTCCCCAATGCAATTCCCCCACCTGAAGTAAAACAGACTAGAATTCTGCCATTTCATCCTGCGTATTTTGTGGAACAGCTAGCCATATTCTGTGGAGATGGCGTCCCATACCAAGTTGAAAGAACTGACTTCATCTAGTATGGCAGTTCCAAGTTTGGCAGGATTTTGTCAGAACATCCTAGACCTCCTATGACTCTTTAAATAAATAAATAAAAACCATTTGCCATCACAACTGTGGTATCAGAAAACTAGAGAAGACTTGTTGCTTGCTGTTCCTGCTGGAGCACCAAGTCTGGTTTGAGATGACAGAGCGCCATCTAGTGATCAGATTAGCTGTTTTTTTAAAAAAAAGCCAGTACATGGTAGGAGGATTTGTGGAATCCTAAATTCCACAAATCCTAGTTTATAAAACCAACTCCCTCATCCCCAAACTCTTGAGTTCCACTTCCTGGAACTGTGCAAATCAGTAATTTACCAAAAGGGGCAGACATGCACTCAGAATTAAGGATCTTTGCATCCATCTTGGCCCAGGGAACTGAGCTCATAGTTCTTTCAAACACATTCCTCCCCTCCACCCTTATTCATTTAAGCAGCCTAATTTGGGGGTGGGGAAGTTCTTGCCATTACACGGGGGGGGGGGGCGGGAATGACCCTGCAGGCCTCTAGATATGGTTTGGCTACAACTCAAATATATAAAAGGATGTCATATAGAGGAGGGAGAAAGGTTGTTTTCTGCTGCTCCAGAGAAGCGGACACGGAGCAATGGATCCAAACTACAAGAAAGAAGATTCCACCTAAACATTAGGAAGAACTTCCTGACAGTAAGAGCTGTTCGACAGTGGAATTTGCTGCCAAGGAGTGTGGTGGAGTCTCCTTCTTTGGAGGTCTTTAAGCAGAGGCTTGACAACCATATGTCAGGAGTGCTCTGATGGTGTTTCCTGTTTGGCAGGGGGTTGGACTCGATGGCCCTTGTGGTCTCTTCCAACTCTATGATTCTATTCTATGATTCCTGCCATTCCTGACCTTTGCTCATGCTGGCTCAGGCAAGTGGGAATTGGGACTCCAGCACCTGGAAGGTCAGAGGCTCCTGACCCCTTTATCAAACCATTGTGAAGTCAGAAATCTTTTTTGGTTACTGCAAAACATCTAGAGATCTATTTTCTACCCACCTCTAGCACACAAAAAATTGCCACCTTCTCTCACTTCCACGGGTGTGCATGTGTGTACTCATCTCCTCATCCCAGAGGGAAACAAGCTTTTCTCCCGTGTCAGTACAGGAAAGAGGCGAGAAAGCTTCTCTCTCTCTCTCTCTCTCTCTCTCTCACACACACACACACACACAGTTGGAAGTTTGAGTGCAACTAAGCTTGCAGAAGAGGGGTTTGCATAAAGACAGAGAAGTCAGCATAAAGGTACAGCGATAGTCTGGGAATATAATAAATAATAATAAATAATAATAATAATAATATATTACTTATATCCCAACCATCTGGCCACACCTTCCTAGCCACTCTGGGCAGCGTCCCAACAGTATATTAAGAACACAATAAAACATCAAACATTAAAAACTTCCCTAAACAGGGGAATATGAAGGCTCCTCGCTCTTTCTCTGTTTAGACTAAGTCTTAGGTTGTACCTCCCTCACATTGACAGACTTCAAGAAGTCAGCTGGGAGCTATCCTGAGTAAAAGGAGCAAGGATGGCTGCCTTTCTTTAGTTTGTTAGGTTAGAGAACTAGAAACTTCCCTAGCCTAGTTATTTACTTCATACAATCAACTACTTTGTTATTTTTCTTACTCTACAAGCATCTCTGTGTGCGCTTGTTTATTTGCCTAGCTGGAGTACCAGCAATGATTTTTCAGAAAGAGCTAATGAAGTGTGGAGAAGTGGGGTTAAGAAATAAAGAGGGACTCTCCCAGAAGCAAGAATGAGGTCTGGAGTCATACGGAGCAGAGCAGAGGAGGCAAGAGGGAGGTGGCATTCACCAAACTAGGTTAGTGAAAACCTGGGGTGTCTCCCGGTGCCACCATAACATTTTCTTAAGAGCATTTTGCTTAGTGAAAAGGCATATTGTAAGCTAAAAGAAAGTTGAGATGTCACCCTTTCATTAGAACATTAAAGGTTTCCTGAGAATAATGATGGAACAAGTGGGAAACAAAACTAATTAAGCAATTAGTTTTGCTTCCCACTTGATTTAAGCAATGGTGCAAATGGACCCATAGTCTCAGTCTTCAACTCAGGACTTGCAAGAAATGTAATGATCTGATACTGTACATATTCTCACATAGGTCTTCCTGTTATAGGAGTTTTTAGAAATCATGTGGGGGGGAGTAAATATACAAACAGCTCTTTTTAAACGTTTTATTCATCATTCAAAAAGAAAACATTCCATAATCTTTTTACAAAAAAAAGGCTTTGGAAAGACGGGGGGGGGGACGACAGTTCCTGCCCCCGTTTTTCCAAGTTTTTTCCAGACCTTTGCACCTCTAGTTTCACAGCACTTTGCTCCATGAAAAACTATAGTTAACAAGTAGGAACAGGCATTCTTAAGGGATGCATTCCTCTAATTAGCTGCAATTATGTTACATCAATTATTTTAAAAAAAATTAAAGTGATAGTAAGAAGTTTTTGAGGTCCCCCTTATTACTTTTCTTATTTTCTTCAAGATGAAGCAGTTTTTTCAGCTGTGCGAAGTGGTCTTTGATATTTCTCTGAGTCCTGGAGGAAGAACGAGGTGTTGATTGACCAGATGATGTTCTGGAATTGGGTGTCCCTCTGTTGGATCCAGAATGATGGTGAGTGACAGATGTGGTTTTGTTTGAAGACTTCCCAGCTGATGCCTTTCTGCCCAAACCTTCTCTACTCTTCCCAGAATGCCTTGTTGTTTTCCCACATGCACTGCAGGTAACCAGCAGGACATTCTTTGCTTCCTTGTACTTCTTCAAAAGCTTTGTTTGTTTTAAATTGAGTTTGTAGCCCTTTGCTTCCCGATTAAGTAGTTTTTGTATCTGTGGAGTCACCCTCTTTTTAGGCATTAGACGTACCCTAACATTATCTGGAAGGAGAAACTGGAAACAGTAATGACACACTTGGTTCACAGAATCTTGGGTTTTGTCTTCTCTGTTGCTGAGTGTCCACAGTAAAAACCGTGCTTGGGCAGGGCAAGTGTCTGCCAGCTGCCGTGCTGCATCTTCCAAGTAATGCGGCCTGCCCATCGTCTTGAACAGATCCAAATGTCTGTGGCAAATGGATGAGCTTCAAAGCGAGCGATGATGGAATTGGCCAGGACTCCAGCAGCCTACTCTCTGGCACAAATTATGTGACTGCCTGCAGAAGCAAAGTTAAAATAAAATAAATAAAATGTAAGAAACAGATTATTGCAGTTGGATTAATAGCTTGGTTTCATTGGTGTGTTGGGCCCGTCCCTGGTACTCTGGATCAGTCATCACTTGCCATCAAGCACAAGTGTCTTCACCATTTTCTCTCTTTCAGTGTTGTTAACTGTGAAGGATAAACGAATATTCCCAAAATTATGACTGGCTGACAAAGCAATTATTATTTGAGGACATTCAAACAATGTGCAGCCGAACACACATTGTTCTTGTTATGCATTTTAATGTTCTTTATATTCTAAATCACCTGTGATCCCCAGATGAAGGCCAGAATATACCGTACATTTAATAAATACATAAATAAATCATATGGGACCCATTCTCTTGCTGTTCAAAAGGGTTGATCAAGGAAGGCTGAAGCAACAGAAAAAACAACAACCTACTATCTGTCTGAACTTCAGCTGGGGAGTTGCCTCTGCATCAGTCACCCCACACTTGCAATCAAAATTTGTATTAGAAAGGCTTTAGACAGCACCTGTATGAGAATTCAGTACAGAAAATTCAAGTAATAAAACCAAATAAAAACAGGTACTCCTAAGAGTCTCAAAGAGAAGTAATCAAATCACTAGCCCTGTATGAACAACTATGGAATTTCAAGTTACTGACTCCTTGGCCGAGCTGACACGCAATGGGGGTCATAATTTCAAGTTATGTGCGTGGATCTTAGGCTTGTGTACCCTCCCAAAAAATGCTTAGCATGAATGTAATACTCTACCCCAAATTGCAGCCTGATTTGGCATGGTCAAGGACAAAATAATCACGTGATTCTGATGACTATAAACTGACCCCTAGGTTACTGAAAGGGCTACATTATTGGGGCTGGGAGAGTCAGAAACTCTGGCTACAGCAAAAAGGATCAGCTACATAGCAGACCATCACTCAGCACAAAATGATCACATTGTGTGCGGGGTCACATTCCAGGGCTGGCAGGTATACACAAAACACTTATACCTGAACCACCCCCGTACGACCATCCTTACTTTCCAAGATGTGGTCATACTGTACAGAAGATTAAAAAGATGATTCTGTAGGGGTCTCACAGGCCTTTGCAAGAGTAGCATAAACTACCGTAGTTGGCTTAGGTGAGCATAAGGCCAAGAGTTTAACAAGTATCAGACTGCCAACAAGGTCAAGCTAACCTGAATCAAAGTTTCCATATGCCAATGTCAATTTACCGTTGTGTGACTTTACAAAGTTTACTGCCAACTCCTATTGCTGCAAGAACGATGCTGGCATGATCCATTTCTGCACTAGTACTGAAAAATAGCTTTGTTGTGAAGCTATGACCACAAACCAAATCATTTTTGTATTGACCCAAAACAAGCTGAAAAAATAATTGATTGTAAACCTTTGGAAGTAAACCCATGCAATGAAATGGAATTTACTTCTGAGTAAACACACCAAGAATGAAGGCAGCGGCCTTAAGCAGAGTCAAACTCTTTGGTTCATCTAGCATTCATAGCTATCAACTTCCCTCCAGGGTTTCAGACAGCAGTCTTTCCCAACCCTACCTAAAGATGCCAGGGCTCTTCCACTATGGGGTACATATGGCACACTTGCCACACGCACCCCAGCCAATTTGTAGCACTTTACCAGCTCGAATGATTGGCGGCGGAAAGAAAGAAAGAAAGGCAGCAGGATAAACCCCAAGCAATAACAATCAATGAAGAACGGATACAAAATGGGGCACTCAAAGAAACTCACCTTGTCAGCTTAGCAGGTACCCCCACTCGCCCCCCCCCAAAAAAAAACCCACTCTCGGGAGAACAACAACAACAACAGTAAAACCCGAATCCTTCTCCGGCAGAGGACCGAACTAACACAGCATTTTAAACCCGAGATGAAAACCCCACCGCTCTGTTGCACAGACACGTGGCGAGCAAACCCCTGTTCATGTCACGTGGCGCGTCGGAACACGTCCTCTCCGGAAGAAGAAGGGCGCGTGCGTGCTTCCGCATGGAGCGGAGTGGCGGAAGTGACCTCACGCTCATTTAAACAAAAAACAACAACTGGTTGACGATTACGAGGTGATATAAGAGGTGGGAAGAGGAGCTTCGGGGCCGGAAGTGAGGAAGGAGGGGGAGGGAGCCGTCCGTGAGGAACTTTTCCCGTCAGCTGGGCGAGGGAAGGAGGGAGGGAGAAGGTCCTCTCGAGGGGCGGCAGGAGCAGCAGCGAGGCTGAGCGGCAGCGCCCCTCTCCGGGGGCGAAAGGGCCACGGAGCCCAGGATGGAGTTCCGCGATATCCTGATGGTGGCGTCGGAGCAGCAGGGGCTGAGCGCAGTGCCGGTGAGGACTGGCGGAGGCGCGAGGGAGGGAGGCAGGCGAAAGGACGGTTGGCGGCGGGGAAGAGGCGGCGGCGACCTCCTCTCGCCGAACCGGCCGCGGCCCGTCGCTTCCCTTCTGGGCGCCTCTCTCTTTGCTCTCCTCGAAGCGGACTTTCTTCTGAGTCGAGTCTTCTCGGGCTCTTCTTTCGGTCTCTCTCGCTCCCGTGTTTCCCGTGCACGCTACTTTGTCTGCTTTTGTGTTGCTAATCTGTTGCTCGCTCAGCTGCCGGCGCCCGGCGAGAGGAGCCTGTTCGGCGAGGTGTCACCGGCGGGGGGGGGGAGGGGGAATGCTTTTATCAAATGCATTTCTCGCTTGAGTCACAGAAAGATGCCTTTGTTCAAAAGCTGCTCCTGCTGCTGCTGCTTTTTTCTTTTCTTTTTTTCCGGATAGCGAACACTTGACTTCAAATCCCTACCCTTTCTTTTTTTTTTATCGCAAAAAAATAACTTTGAAACTTTAGAAAACGAGACCAAAAAGTTGGTTTTGCAGTTACCTCTAGATATGCTAGGTTGCTAACCTTAAAATCGTTTTGCAGTTGATCTGAAGCTTGGCCTAAAAACGTAGGGCTAATGTTTGCATTGAGGTTGTACAGTGTCCAAGCAGAATGTGAGGGTTCAGGGAACTTTTTGGATCACTTTTTTCTTTTTTAAAATTATTTTGTCAAAGTAATAATCATAAATAAAAATGAGCATCCCACCACCGAGACCATTCCATTGTAGCTATCCAACCTCCCAAAATTTAATGGTTTGACCCCTTTCTGTTTTAACAATACAAATTCTACAAACACCCTCCATATCTCCTCAAAATCCTTTCTCCTGCATGTTTCCCATCTTACCTTAATGGCACATGTTAATTTATCATTAATAGCTATATCCCACTCCTCTTTATACCAACTTGAATTCTTAAAGGGTTATACTCTCTGGCTTATACTTTCTAAGAGAGCTTCTCCGGGCTTTGAAGATGTGCAGCAGGGTTTTCTGGGTGTAACAACAGCAGCAAAAGCCAGCCTAAGCATGCCTACTTAGACTTTAGGCGGATGCTTGTTAAACAAATAGCTGCTGTAGTCTATTTGTGAAACTCAGGTGTTGCAGACAGCACATATAATCAAGTTGTGAGTTTTATATTTATCTGACTTACCTGAATTTGGCTTATGGGTGTTGGACTATATTTTAAAGAATCAGAATACAAATGGATATCTAGATTTGTTGTATCATTGAATGGCTGTATAAGAATTACAGTTAGCAAGGAAGTACTAAATGAAAGAGTTCTTAGGATCATGGTGATTATTACATGTTCTTCTGGTAAAAGGTGTAAGATATTTGATAAAGCAAAGTTTATTTAAAAAAAGCTTCAGGTGTTACAAAAACTGGCAACATAATATTAGTATTATGTAGCATTAGTTAAGGGTAGGTAGCTACTGGGTTACAAAGGAGCTTACAGGGGTACTTCTGGTTATGAACACTTCTGGTTACGCATGCTTCGGGTTACGAGCTCCGTTAACCCAGAGCTCCTGGTTGCGAACTTTGCCCTAGGATGTGAGCGGAAGTCACGGATAAGAACGGTTTCCGTTTGTAACCAGAGGTACCACTGTATTGACATTTTCTTTCTTCCTTTTTCTGAAGAAGCATGTTGGGAAGAATATCCTGAGAGTTATGCCACCTTTTTTAGTATCTTAAAATTTGGTATCAAATATTTTCTCAAATACTGGGTCATAATGATCTTTTGGAAACTGTTGGTAAAATTCTGGTAAGAGACAGTGCCTTTAATTTTCTCTTTTTCTCTCCCCCATCCCATATAATTAATCCAATGCAGCATTAAATAGAATAGATGAAGCTTGGTCCAGTGCACCATGGGCGTAGTAGTGTGCATGAAGTATTTCCTATTTGTCAGAGGTTCTTAGGCTTTTTATCCACAGGGCCCTCTGGAGATGGCTTCAAATTACACTGAGATCCACTAATCACAAAATGGTGGTTCAGATGTAGAGCCAGTAACACAGTGGTGGCAGACAGAGGCAGAGTTTGGCATAACCAGCTGGCGGTTACTGACATCACTTTCTACTGATATCTGATCCACCTTCAGAAATTACTAAATTATTTGCCACAGTATTTTCCTTGTGGCAGGGAGTTCCATAGCTCAGCTTTCCTCAGGCTAAGTACATACATTTGCTCAGCCTCCCCATTTTAAGCAAAGTGTGCTTATCCAGAGGCTGTAAGTAGAGAAGGCCTCTTCATTTATATTTTTCCCTTCCGGCCCCCCACCAATGCCTCTCAAAGTGTTTTTACCCATCTGCTGTATTCCCTTCTCTCCATGCCCAATATTTTTTATCCCAGCTTCCTGATCCTTTTATATTCACACCTTTTATATCAGCTCTCTCATCCTTTTCTTTTCCTAGTTTATGTATTATTAGTTCATTTATTTATTACCATAAAAATGAAACTTTTATTTCCATTTCTAATTTCCATCAATGCTTACCCTGGTCCTTTCCTCTCAGAGAAGGGAGGGATTGCCTCGCTTCTCTTTCTCTCTCTCTCTCTCTCTCTCTCTCAACTTGTTTCCTGGACACCAGAGTGCAAGAAGTTGCTGATATAGGCATTGGTCCAATCAAAAGTCTTATCACATGGTTAGGAGACTGGGCAGGTATTTGAGGAGGCTCTGGACAGGCTGTGGCACTGAGGCCAACCTCAGAGTGGCCCAAGACCCACTGGTATGCACCCAGCCTTCTGTTTGAGGGAGCCTGCCCTAGACTAGAGCATAACAGAGCTCTATTCTCCCTATGGAGTTAGAGGGAGCAGACCATTGTCCCTTCATCACTCTTCCTTGGTCAAGTGGAATGGGACAGAGAGGACTGGTTAGATATTTTGGAGTTAATGGACTGGCATGGTGACAGCCCCATTATATGCTATGGAGGGAACAGGGCTTTGTTATAACCTTTGGAGACTTTTATGTGATGCCACATCCTCAGGGGATGGATCAAGCACAAGGTATATTTTCTATGAGTAGACAGCATGATGATTTAAATGCCTATTGCAGGTCTTTTTATTTAGTCCATGTCTTGATTTTAATTCTCCAGGAAAATACGCAAGTCTCAGTCTAACGAGAAAACATTCTTCTCTTTGTATCTCCTTAATAGTGTCAGTTGAAATATTTATTCTAATGTCCCAAACCTTTACCAGTGCTGGGTTGCTGTGGTTTCCTCAAATAGTGTGCAGCTATAATCTTTGCTGACGTAGGAAAGATGATGTATTAGCAATTCTATTTTAAATGCCTTGCAGGCAAATCAATGCATGCTTACTTTGAAATAAATTCCACTTAAATCAGTGGGGCCTACTGTCAAGTAAGTGCTCATAGGATTGCAGTCTTAGACAAAAACTGGATACAGAAAAAAGGCCGGGCAGCAAATATATCCTGGACACCCACAGTTGCACCAAATAGCTGTTCAATATGCATGTCTACTACACATGTAAAAAAAACGTTTCTTTTAACTTCTCCATTCAACCAAAGAAACCACCATTCCAATTCTTATACCTGACCTTCAGTTTTCAAAGTAGGTTGTATAAGGTGACTATATTTTTTTAGCCATAACATTTCCCCCCCCCTAGCTGGAGACTGCTCTGCTAGATCAGAGGTGGATAACCTGTGGCCTTTCAAGTCTTGCTGGGCTACAACTTCCATCATTAGCCAGGCTGATGGGAGTGGGGAGTCCCATTGCTTGGAGAATCACAGGTTTGGCAACCCTGTCCCAGATGCTTTCAGGTCTCTTTTCACATAAATCTTATCGCATTTCTATGAATAGTTCATTTTCAGCAATGTCTTCTTCCATTTTAGTACAGTGGTGCCTCGCAAGACAAAAATAATCCATTCCGCGAGTCTCTTCGTCTAGCGGTTTTTTCGTCTTGCGAAGCAACCCTATTAGCGGATTAGCGCTATTGGTGGCTTAGCGGCTATTAAAGGCTTAGCGGCTAAAAGGCTATTAGCAGCTTAGCGGCTATTAAAGGCTTAGCGGCTAAAAGGCGCTTAGCGGCTTAGAAAAAGGGGGGGAGCGAAAAAAATCGCAAGACTCTCAAGACATTTCCGTCTTGCGAAGCGCACCGAAAAACGGAAAACCCTTTCGTCTAGCGGGTTTTTCGTCTTGCGAGGCATTCGTCTTGCGGGGCACCACTGTAATCTGAAAGTTTGGCCATTCTTCAATTTAAAACAGATTAAATAGAAATTAGAGTCTTGTAAGTGATCCTGAATACAATATAGATTTCAACATGAAAGGACAGCTGCAAGTGTGAAGGGTTGGGTGTGAGAGAATGGTGTTCTTCTTGGGAACCCTGACTGAAAACAAAGAAACAGATTCCCCTCGGGGTCCCTTCCAACTCTACAATTCTATGAAAAATAGGTTTCAGTGAAGCTAGGCCTTTAATTGGAATAAGTGGACATGGGGACAGTCCCCTAAAAATCAAGGAATGACTGCAACTTGATACAGAAAGCATTCTTACATACTTCTGTGCTACATGTTTGATTACTATTAGCCAATCATGTGGTTGCAATAAAAATTTCTATAATAGTTACATCCCACTGTTTTCTAAACCAGTCAGAAATCTCTGAGC